CGAATCATAGCGATGATACCCCAAGCTTTCCAGGGAGGTCGTTTACGTAGATGGAGAACATCATCGGTCTAAAGACCGAGCCCTGTGGGACACCGCTAAGGACCGCTTGCCTGAAAGATAAGCTGCGACTCACGCGTACACATTGCTCTCTTCCCTACAAAAGTGCAGATACCCAGTGAAGAGCGCTACCAGATGCACCGTAGGAGCTCAGCTTTTGTCATAGCCTCAAGTGGGGTACCTTGTCAAATGCTTCCGAGAAATCGACGAAATGCACATCCACTACGTGGCCACTGTTCACTGCCTCAGCCCAAGCGTTACGAGCAATCAACAAATTCGTCAGACACGAAAACCCCTCGCGGAATCCTTGTTGTACACTACTGAGTAGATTAAATATATTCAGGTGACCTTCCCACGGATCTATCACTTCCAAAATATTGCGTCCTATGAATCATCTCGCCAATTTTCCTTTCGCTCAACCGCTTTTGATGACAACTTCTCATTCATCTATAATTGACTTCCGCCTACCGGCGACAGTAAGGACAAGAAATCTGCACTACAACCCGGGTGTTGCCGGTTCAAGTCTTTGTAGGGGACGGGGTGACCCTCGCAGTGTTCGGCTCACTCGCGACTGATGGTTGGTGCGTGGCAGCGAAGCGGTCGTCCTGCATACTGCTGATGCTTTTTTCTAGTCCACAGCTCTGTAATGAACACGGATTATTCCAGGAATGAAGGAAGAAGACAAAAGCCGATAAGGCGGCTTTACTCGATTAATAATTCGGACGTGTGAGCTATATAAACAGAAACATGTATTAGAACGGTAAATATGCCAAAGCATGGAATACGGCAAAATCAAAAACACATAACATTCTCCCTCGCTAGGAAATCGTTGCTGAGTAGTTGATGACGTTTATAAAGATGAGTTCGGCGCAGAGCGGTCCGTGTTAGTAGGGGAAATTGGATAAGAATTACATGCGGGATGCGAATGAAAGAACTGTCCAAAAAAGCGACGTATAATAAATGAAGAGCAGGATCAAGCTTCACGATTTCTTAGATCGTGCGGTCGGGTTCGTTGTTGTTGTTGTAGCAGAGTATTCTCTCTTCTAGTAGTAGTATCATCAGGTGATGGGTCGGGAGTTACTGGCAAAGTAGTAGTAGGGACCATAGCATCCGGTGCATTTAGCACGTGGGGCGTCAGAGGGACATCGCTGTCATCGGGAATCCTGCCAGCAGCGGGAGCCAAGTGGCGAGTAGAAACCGTCTGCTCTCTGCCATCGGGAAGTCGGACAAAAGCATAATCTGGGTTGCAATCAAGTAGCTCAACTTCTTCAACCAATGGTTCATATTTCGATTGACGTGAAGCACGCTTCATGAGTACCCGACCGGGCTCGGATAGCCACGTAGGAAGAGATGTGCCAGTAGTTGACTTTCGGTTGAATCGAAATAAGCGCTGGTGTGGAGTTTCGTTGGTGGCTGTGCACAGCAACGATCGGATTGAGTGAAGAGCATCTAAGAGGACCGACTCCCACTGTCCGATATCCAGGTTTTTTGAAGATAGTGAAAGCGTAATAGCGCGCCATAAAGTTCCATTGAGACGCTCAACCTGCCCATTACCTTGCGGATTATAAGCGGTAGTCCTACTGGTGGATATTCCTTTATCGTGCAGAAACTTTCTTACTTCGGACACAAAAGAAGGACCGCGGTCGGAGGGTATATAAGATGGCATTCCGAACAAAGCAAACAGCTGCGTGAGGCATCCGATCACTGTTGCAGAAGTCATATCAGAGCAGGCAAACGCGAAGGGAAACCGAGAGTATTCGTCAATCACAGTCAGGAGATACTTGTTTCTTGACGTAGATGGAAGTGGTCCTTTGAAATCAATGCTCAACCGTTCAAACGGTTGTGTAGCTTTAACGAGTCGACCAACAGAGGGTCTATAGAACTTAGGTTTGATTTCGGCGCAAGCTTTGCATTGTGAGGTCATCGTCCTGACATTGTCCAAGGAAAATGGAAGGTTACGAGAACGAATAAAATGCATCATACGAGAAACACCAGGGTGGCACATTGACTTGTGTAGTTCGTTAAATTCCCTACCACTCAGAGACGCTGAACAATGAATTCTGGAGAGCGTGTCGGCTGCTTTATTTCCGCTTCCCGGTCTATACATTATATCGAACCGATAACTTGATAGTTCCAAACGCCGTTAGATTTTATCATTCTTAATTTTTCCTTTGTTATTGTCACCGTACATGAATGTCACTGATCGCTGGTCAGTTACTATCGTAAATGGATTGCCAAAGAGGAAATGACGCCATTTTCGCACTGCTTCGACTATAGCGCAGGCCTCTTTTTCGACGGCGGAGTGGTGTTTTTCGCTGTGAGATAGCGTTCGGGAGAAGAATGCTACTGGTCTGCCATTTTGATTCAAGGTAGCGGCGATTGCAATGTCAGATGCATCTGTTTCGACTACCAATGGTACACCGGGTGTGATAGTCACGACTGTAGATCGTTCTAATTCTTTTTTGAGTTGTTCGAAACAGTTCATTACCGGTTCGGGCAGCAAGAAAGTTTCATTGTGAATCAATGGATAGATTTTATCGGAAAATTTTGGAATCCATTTCGAATAATATGCAAACATTCCTACTAGGCGCTGTTGTGACTTGGGATAATGCAGTAGCATCAACTCGGCCAAAGGTCGTAGTCGCTCCGGGTCAGGTTTGATAATGCCCTTGGATATTTCGTAACCGAGCAAGGTGATTTTATTAACAGCAAAAATGCTTTTTGTGTCGTTAAAAGTGATGCCGCAATTTTTGGCTACCGTCAGGAAGTGTTTAAGATTTGCGTCATGTTCCTCTTTGCTTCTACCGCACACCGTAACGTTGTCAACATATGCAAAGGTATCTGCAACTCCTTCCCGTTTCAGAAAACTGTCGATGGCTCGTTGAAAGCAGGCGACGCCGTTGGTAACACCGAAGGGAATACGGCAAAACTCGTAAAGTTTTCCACCAGCTTCAAAGGCAGTGTATTTACGTTCTCGCTCGTTGATTGATATTTGATGGTAAGCACTCTTCAAATCTAGAGTACTATACACATCGGAACGAGCGATTTTATCGATGAGGTCATCGATCCTTGGAAGCGGGTAGGCATCAAGATAGGTAAATCGATTGATAGTTTGGCTATAATCCACAACCATACGCTTCTTATGTCCGCTCGTAGTTACTAACACTTGCGCTCGCCACGGCGACCTCGAAGGCTGGATAATGCCATCTGCCAGAAGTCTTTTGATTTCAGATTGAATGAAAGTTTCATCGGATTCGCTATGGCGTCTAATTTTGTAACAATCGGTTGGCAATTTGGAACAAGGTGCTCAAACAGGGGGAACGGTTCCACACGGGCCGCCATTAGGCCACAAATAGTAAAAGGAGGTCTGGATCCATGAAACGATATCTCAATTTTATGATGATATTTGCGGAATTTGTGACCAAGTAATACGTCAGAGCAAAGGTTAGATAAAACGAATAGTTTCACATTGGAATAACAGGTGTCTTTGTGTCGAATTTAGCAAATTGTATGTCCTTGGGTGAAACTAGAATGAGTAGTGGAGGCCATAACGATGTGCTCCCGAGAGGTTTCGATATGAAATTTGTTAAGTTTTACAACTGAAGCGGAAATGTAGCTTTCAGAGCTCTCAGTATCGACAAGGCCTTGCAGCGGTATGTCATTCACAAAGATGTTAGTAACGGCACTGTAACGGCTGCCGGGCGCGGCAGCAGATATCACAGAAGATAAAACCGACATAGAAACGTTCGAGCGGTGATTTGTGCTTGGCCTGGATTTGCAAACGCTCTGGAAATGGCCTTTCTTTGTACACTTTTTACATGTCGCATCTCTGGCGGGACATCTTGATCTAGGATGTCTGGTGTAGCCGCAAAAGAAACACGTTGACTGGGAGGACGCAGCGACAGGTTCTTCTTGAGAAGATAGCTGCGGCTCAGATGGGATTTCAGTTTTCATCGTGGAGTTACAAGTCGTCAGCTGAAAGGGAGCGGCTTGTTTTTGCGTCAAGTCAAGCGATCTAGCCATCTCGAAAGCGGACTGAAGATCGAGTGATTTTTGTTCCAATAATCTCTGCCTGATGAGGTTAGCTTGTAGACCGCTGATAAAAGTACCTCTGATAGCTTGATTCCTGTGTTCGTCGGCAGTGACTGGTAGAAAATTACAGTCGCTAGCAGCGGAATTTAACTTCTGAATGAATTGGTCTAACGATTCACCGTTCTCTTGCCTGGCAGTGGCTAGGATGTGACGTGCAAAAATTTCATTTTTGGGTTTTATGAAGATATCTTTTAGCGTTTTGACGGCATCCTCATAAGAAGAGCACTGAAAAACCACCTCGAACAGGGCAGATGAGATATAATTCATTAACGTTTTGAGCTTGTCCGGCTTCATGGACTCGATCGATTCTAAAAAATTGTTGAAAGTGTAGATCCAATGGGCCCAGCGTTTGCCGGCGTCAGAAGATTGTGGATCCACATCAAAGCGATCTGGGCGTAAGATTTGATCCATGAGATTGTTCTATTAATCGAGTAAATTGTAATGAACTCGGATTATTCCAGGAATGAAGGAAGAAGACAAAAGCCGATAAAGAGGCTTTACTCGATTAATAATACGGACGTATGAGCTATAAAAACAGAAACATGTATTAGAACGATAAATATGCCAAATCATGGAATACGGCAAAATCAAAAACACATAACAAGCTATTTGTTGCAAACCGCACCATTAACCACAAATCATCATATCATTTTGTGTTGTTTCAATCCGTGTGAAGTAGTTTTTGCACTTAAAGCGAAACATTGCTAGAACGACACCTTAACTGGTTGCTTCCAAACCTTTCTGAAATAATGCATCGATCGGTACTGATCATATTTGAAGGTACCGAATGTTTCCCCCTATTGGCATCCGAATTTTACGCGGTTATCATATTTAAAAATTTTCATTTTTTAGTGTCATCTTCCACGAGTCTTCAAACATCTCGCCAGCACTCCATCACATGGGAACTGCTTTTTTTGCCTTACCCGAACACCGGAGTATTCGTCTACCAATAGGCCTTGATGGACTTAGTTGTGCTGCTTTTCTTCCAGATTCCACGTTGTGCAGGATAATACTCGGTACCTCTGGGGGCCGCATCAGAAGGTGACCGTGTTTTGTTACGTTGTTCGATGAGTTCACCAGCTACGACTTCTCAGGCCATAAAACTGATTGTGTTTACCAACGAAGATGGCACAAGTCTGTTCGATGCCTAGATTTCCTTCCCTGCACTCACACCTTGGTCACTGCTTCCAGCGAAAGCGGACTTAAAGTGCACGATATTGACACAGGAAAAAGAGTGTGGATGTGCCTCCGTGCACATGACCGTACGGCAATCTGCAGTTTGTTGACCACTTCATCCACGCAGTGGGTCACGGGAGATGAAGACGGCATAGTTAAAGTTAGTTTAATATCTCACTTTCTTCGATTGCATTGTCAGTATTCATCCATTAGTTCCTTGTACCGTCTGTCTCCTACCGTATAGCCATAAATAGTTGTGTATGGGCTAGAACGCTGTCGAGACACCAAGATTTAAACATGCGAATGATAGGGGCTCTGCGTCGAGGCTTTTAACTCAACGATCTGCTATAAAAGCCGCGAGAATTTAGCAACGCTCTAAAAATGGTTCTTTTCCACATGAATGTTTTCCATTCCACGTTCAATCCTCAACTTGGAGAACCAAAAACCAGATTTTGTCCTGTCTCTAATGATAAACCACTCCGGTAAGACTAGCTCTCAAGGGACCCATTGCACCACTCAATAAACCTAGGTGGACCTGAAATGTACGCACATCCTCACGCTACGTTAGAGCACAGTTCAGTTCAGTTTCCTTTATCCATGTACCGCAAATGCTTGTGTCCAATTGCCTTGATGCATCTGAGTCTGCCGGTGAGCGAAAGGATTGCACGCCGGACTTGCACTACTTAGGTCACCGGTTCGAAATCGCGTGGCGACGGACGTCCTCGCGGTATACTCAGCTCACGCGGGACCACTGCTAGTCGCGTGGCAGCGAAGCTTCGGTACAGTGTGCCGGTTTATTGCTGATGACTTCTTGCTACATCTGAAGTAATAACGCTAATAGTTATAGGGGAGACGGAATAATTTTGTGAGGTTGAAAATTTAAGGATTGAAAATAGGAGAGTTAAGACAATAGCGCCACTGGTTTTGTGACTTTTCCGTATCCCATACAGTACCCAAGCAACGATGTAGTTGATTCCTAGGAGCGCTAACTGGCGGACAAAAAACAGCGGCTTTTAGATGCCGTTCAAGCCGTTTCCTTGCCAATAGCCTCGGTAGAACCTCTTACCAACCTAGCTCAAAGCTTATTTGCAAGCAGCCAGCCAACGAGAGCGCCTCTTCAGATCCAGTCAGTGATATCACTTTTGCCTTGCAGCCAACCAACGAAACCATTTGCCTGCCTCTGGTAATTTCTGATAACACGGAGCGGTTCAGTCAGGGCATTTATGTTGAGCTATGTAAGCAAACCCATTTTGACTGTTAACAGCGCTTTATTTTCCTGGTCTCAATTGTTAGTTTTCTCGAGGACCTTGTCTTCTGATTTTGTTAGTGGCTGGAACGTGATTTGTATGGTTGTCAATGGAAACCCCAAGTTTTGGCGACGAGGACAAGCACTATCCTGATATAAACCTCAGCGGAAGTCCTATAAGTCACTTTGCTACAGTTTCAGCAATAATTTGAGGCTGACCGCTACAAATGGTTGAGACTAACTCTGTCGCTGCAGTCTACAACAGTCCAAAATTTTCACGTAGCTTATAGTTGATGCAGTGATAGGCAGTGCCAATGACCCAGACTTAGCGCTGCTTTTCTTTGCATGGTTCGGGTATTGTGAATATATTTTCACGACGGAGCTGGTAACTCTTGATTATACATCAAAGGTACGATTGTTGTTACAGAAACCCGGACCTGTTGAGCACTACAGACGCACCAATTACATTTTGCCTAATAGTGCTCAAGGTTTCAGCTTTGATGAGACGATCTCCTTACCCTCTGATATTTTTCAACGAAAACACATCACTTTTGTACAGTCGCTACAATTACCTGAAGCTTTGCAAGCGGGATGGCGACCTTTTCACTGACCGTGCAGCAACGATAAAACAAACATGTTAAAATTTCAAGCTTAAGCCACTTACTGTTGATCACTTTGAATGTCTTATATTTGTATTCAGCCTGCAGTCAGTCTCCTATTCTCGGGCTGTTGCACCGGGACCCGGATGTCACACTGCAAACTCATTGCATATGCACAAAGGATCATCTGCTTGGAACACGATACGGCTGTGGTCGAGGATGTGAGAACAAACTACATAGCTTTCGCAATGCAGCAGATTTTTCAAATGCAATATTCCAGCCACTGATTGCAGAAACCACCTGGCAAGCCGCTCTCGGTGTATTGACAATACGAAGACTGACGCTTTGTGAGTTAGAGCCCATTTAACAAGCACATTACCATAAATGCTGCACTTATGCACGAAGGAACCCATTGCAGATCCAATCCATTTTCCAGGTCTTCCCATAATGTTTGAAAGGCCTATGGGTCTTTTGCAAAAGAGTGAACGCTAACTTTTCCGAGGATGTCGGAGGTCGAAAGAGGCATCTCACGATTTGCATGAACGGTGGACGTCCACACTTGCAAATTGATATGGCCTCAGACATCACAGCCATTTAAGGAATGTCATGAGTAGTCGAGACGTCTGATACGAGACCAACTAGTCAGCTGGCGAAGGACGCATCAGTTTGCCGTTTGGTCATTTTAAATGTGAGTACCATCTTCAAAGTTGGACTTGGAGAATCTGCTGGTGGTTGAGTTGCTACAAGCAACCTCTATTGAGACCTCGGTTCACTTGAGGTGGACCTCGGTCATTCCGATCACAGACTGTAAGTAAAATGGAAACATTATAGTGTTGCTCATCCCAGCACTGGCACTCCAAGACCGCGGTTTCGTCCTGGTTGGGTTGGTTGAGTACCATCTTACAGAATCTACCGCATGTGGAACGTTTTTCCGCACAGGTCCTCATAACTGGACTGGATTAACTTACGACCTTTTCATGTTCCGACCAAGAATATTTGTGCATGCATCTAGATACACAAACCAACCCTCGAAAACAATAGCTATCGAGTGCACGCGAGAGATGGATGCGGCAGTTTTCACCAAATCCTCGATCAGCACACGAATATACAAGCTTCCCTGACTCTAAAGTCCGATGCTGTTCCATTGTTTTGTGCGCTACTCTCCTTACACAGTAACGCCAATGGGTCACTTGGAAAGTGCGGGAATCTTGCTTACGATGAACTACTCATCCTGGGCAGCATCAGTCCTGGTCAGAAACCCAAATCGTCAAATTCATGTATACACCGACTTCTGAACAGATTTCATTGTTGCACTGAATCCCTATCAATAGCTCCCATCGTTTCCAGACGATTTGTTCGCAGAACTGAATATAAGTAAATGTTTTGTAAGCTGGATCTTTCCGACGCATACCTGCAGACTGAAATACATGAAGCTTCAGGATGATTGTTCACCATAAATATGCACAGGGACCTGAGTCAGTACCACTGCCTCCCGTTCGAGGTCAAGTCCATACGAGCCATGTCTCAGCATACCATAGACACTATGCTGACAGACGTCGATGGAGTGCTGCATACCTGGATAAAATTGTTGTCAGGAGCTGTGTTGACCACCTCTTCGAAAAACGGGATTAAGTTCTATTAGTAAGTGGAAAATTCCCATTTCCTTATCAAGGACAAAAGACCGAAGGTAAACAATTGTTTTCGATGATTCATCTTCAGACCTGTACAATCATATGGGGGAAATAACATTGGGCAAGTACAAGTGGATTGACGATCAGTTCAAATGAGATTGATCACGTGTCGACCAAAGGCATGAACCAGTAACAAACAGCAGGCTAGAGCTGAGGTACAGTTGCACCATTGCAGTTGCTCTCCGAAGGATCCGTTTTGGCTGGCCAAGGTAGCATAACAGCTTCGATCAGCTTCTTTTGTGCACACAAAAGCGGTTGATACAACCGAATGCTGATTGCCTCGGCAGTAGCGAGGGTGTGGAGGCGCAGACCTTTCGACTGGAGTGGAGGGACCCTGTACAGTATTCGAAAGGCACTGACTGGGTCAACCTCATGCCCACTATCAACAAGATGAACCCTAACTGAGCTAGTTATAACTCCATACCGCCTCGACGCAACCAGCGTGGTAGGTGCTCCTTAATGCGTTTCGACAGTTGCCGCGCCATTCGACCGATGTAAGTAGAAGAATATAAGTACAGACTCTATGCTGAGAAATTTACCTTCCTCATGGATTCAGTCACGTTTCTCTGCTTTATAATTGACGAGAAAAGCAAACGCTCAGATCCATCGAACATAGACATTTGGCAGTGCCACAACACATGAGTACCAATAAAAAGGAGGAAAGAGAGTTGGCAGAATGGAAGCAAAGTTCCATGTACTGTGTTGGCATTAAGTTTCCCGGTTTCCCGGGCCGAGAAGTGGCTTGACTTTAGGGGTACCACTCCGAGCCTTTGCTCTTATAAACCTGACTCGCAAAGCAGCGGGGCGATTCACGAAGACCTTTGACACTTAGGTGGGTCATTCGCCTTCTTTGTGTTCGGAACCAGTCCACAGGGAAGCCGGTGGCCAGCAAGGTTGTTCATCCGCCCTCCGTTAGATACTCACCCCCGGTTACAGGAGTGAGTGGTCAGTGATTCGATAGCCGGTCACACTGGCTTTGACACAGCGCCGTACGAGCACTTGTGGTATTTACTGGAGAACCAGGTGACCAGTCCAGAACTCCCCACATTCTGAGACGCTGCCGCTGATTGTCCGCGACTGCTTATTCAAGGAAGGCATTCCCCGATCCGCAACCGGGAGACGCGCCCGACAGCGTACAGCTCCGCCACAGGAATCATGAAGATACCACTTCCCAGAGCTGTTATGTAAGGTTCCTCTTATAGCTCACTAATCACTACAGTCCGATTCTGCCGCATAGGTATCACTTGCATGGTCCACTTGCTGAGATGCTGATCAAGGGTAAAGGCTGAAACTGGTCCAAATAACTCCAAATGTCACTTGAGGGGGTTAAAACAACCCTGTGTTCCGATCTTCTGCTGGCACATTACAACCCTGCCTTGGAAGCTTTGGTAGCAGCTGACGCATCGAACCATGATATCGGGACATTCATTACCCACAAGTTCGCTGTGGGTTTAAAGCACGCGACTGCACACGTAACCAGATTATTCTTGCACGCAGAACGAATTTACGGCTAACTAGAGAAGGAAGTTATGGTTATGGCATTCGAAATGAAAGACCACGAAGCGCTTTATGAAGGAAAGTTCGCACTTCTTACTGATAATAGACCACTACTGGATATTTTCGG